TGCTCGCCGGCTCCTCCCTTTTTCTGGGCCGAATAAAGTTGTTTCCCTCTCTCTCTCTCCCCATCACGCTTCGCTACCTCGCTACAGATGAGTTACGTCACCATGAAAAGGCAGGCCTAAATGACGTTTGCGGGCTTAACTTTGTCGAAGAAATCGTAGCTCTAACACACAAGGCGGCTTATCTCCGAAACCGCCTGTTTGCTTACACACATACACCACAAGTCCAGGAGGCGGCCACCTAATTTAGATAGCTTGCAAAATTCAGTTTCGCAGGCTATGACAGTGTGATTTATCACAAAGGTGCGTCTAAGTAGCGCATTTCATTTCTTAAACAATAAAAAAGGTTTGCCCTAGTCAAACAAATGCAGTCAAGAAACGTTCTATATCTTCTATATGTACATAGAAAACATTGCGGTGACCCATTGGGACGTTTGATTAAACAACAAAAGGAAACATGAGAAAAGTGCAAAGATGCTTTTCTTCGCATTTTATCAATCAAACGTTTCACGAGTCTACGATGGCGCTGTATTATTTTTTCATATTTAATTGGTGTTTGGCCAATGAAGTGTTATTGTTTTTGTAACGTTTTACTGAGGTAAGTCTTTTTTTTTTGACAGTTTGTTATATCGAATGCACGGCCTACCCACACTCATATATGTAAGCGTCGTAGCTCTCAAAATTAGTGTTTGCAATAAATTTAAAGTAGGTTGCTGCCATCTGAACGGCCCGTAGCGCATCAGTTACGGTGAATCTAGAGCTTCTTAGAAATTGCAAATAAAGTATAGCCCTGCGGCATCCCACCACTGGCTGGGTTCAGCTGGTTCGGTATATTGATATAACGATCGTTATTATACTGTCTACTCACCCGGGTTTAGGTCAGCTTCCCTAATTTGACAGGAGCAGCAGTAAAAATCAACATTTTAGTGCCTAAATATGGTCAAGTAAAAGCCACTTTTGAAAGTACTTTAAAAAACCCTGCATTTTGTATACCGTGGTGGCATACTTCTTTTTGTTGAATGCATAATAGTGCCTTCACTAATTTCGATGCAGTGAACCTTCATTTCAGGGGAGACTTTCACCCCTACTGGTTTCCAGCTCAAAAGGGCCCACAACACGTTCTCGAAAATAGTGCAAAAATTGTGCATTGCTATATATGAAGTTTTGGCATCTGTTTTCATCAAGGTAGGTTTATCCCGTAAACATACTGTGACAAAAAAAGAAGAAGTGGAGTTCGGATTCGAAGGATAAAAGGGAACACCAGGGGCGAGATACGCTTAGAGTAAAGCGTAACAACTGGTGTCAGGAGCTCCGTTCGGGACACTGTCTTCCTGCAAGCATGGACCCTCCTCGACAACCTGAGGATGGGCTTCCGCGACCTGGAAGAGGAACCACCCCGCCCCGATCAGTTCCTGATCCCGTTGAGCCTAACATTCAAGCCTATGCCTCGACCGTCATTGCAGCTCTGCTGGATGTCCACCACCAATGGGCTGCCCAAGAGTTCAGGCACGCGATGCGGCTCTCCTAGAGACCATTTCAAGTTCCTTCGGAAAAACATCAGTCGCAATCATCGAGAGCTTTCGAGCGCTGGCACCTGCAAGATCTCTACCAACCGGTGAAAATGAACTTCCACCCACGGCTCAACTGACCACCGCTCCGTCTCCTACGGATCTCAAGCTACGGGCGTCACAATTTGACGGCACCGGCACCTGGTCCGCCTACGCGACACAGTTTCAGATAATCGCTGCCGCCAAATGATGGACCGACAAAAAAAAAAAAGGCACGGGCACTTTCAGTAAATCCCAGAGGTCCAGCATTACAGGTCCTTCACCACATGTCGCCAGAACCTCGAACGTCGTACACCTCTCTACATCAAGCGACGGAGCAACCCTTCGGTGATGGGCAGCAACGTTACCTACAGCACACCCAGCTGCGCCACCGGTGACGAAATTCGGGTGATACGTTGTCTCAGCTCGCTGACGACATCGAGCGTCTTAAGCGCTTGTCGTTTGTGGGTTTCCCTGAAGAGACTGTAGGTGCCGTTGGCACTGCGGCTTTTATTGATGCAATTGCGTCAATTGAGATACAAGATTCAGTCCGCCTTTCTCGTTCTCAAACACTTCGAGCCGCCGACATTTATGCGCTAGAAGTGGAAGCCGCCCGTAATGCATCACGATTGGCTACGAGGCATTCACCTGCAGCACCCGCCTCAGTCCTACCAAAGATGATCTGCTGAAACTGCCGACAAGGAGGACACTGCAAGATGCAATGTCCCCTTACACCCCCAGATGCCCGACCAACGGATGCTCAAGGAGCGTCACGAAAAAAAAATTGCTTCATGTTGCTCGGTAGCTTTACTCTCATCCATCTACCTCCAGGGTACAATGAATGCCGTTCCTGTGCGGGCATTGATAGACGCCAGAGCGACAAACACAGTCATCCGACTGAGTTTGTCGCTGAAGTTATTAGGAATCACCGACTGGCCAACTCCAGCATCAGGTGCTAACGTTCTGAGCTTCCTCGGCCTGGCGACGTACTATGGGCGATTCTTCCCTGGTTTTTCACGAGTCGCCAAGCCTCTATATGCCTTGACCGAGAAGTCCAAGGTATTTAAATGGTCTACTGAACGCCAAGACTCCTGACGCACTAAAGTGTGCGCTAACGTCGCCCCCAGCGCTGGCTTACCCAAGAGACAACGCGTTGTTTATTCTGAACACAGATGCGAGCAATACCGCGGCAGTTGCAGTACTGTTTCAACAACAGGAAGGCCATGAACGAGTAATTGGCTTCTACAGAAAAGCCTTCACGAAGTGAGAACGAAGCTATAGCACCACAAGACGTGAAGCTCACGCTATTGTCAAAGGCTTTTTCTTATTTCAATTACTACTTGCGTGGCAGGAAGTTCATAATCCGCACAGGCCACGCAGCGTTGACGTGGCACTTCTTGGTTTTAAAGAACCAGAAGGTCAAGTTGCGCGCTGCATAGAACATCTACAGCAGAACGACTTCGAGATTAAATATCGTGCTGGATCGCACCATAGTAACGCCTTCGCCATCTCTAGGCGTTCATGCAGTGAGGGCTCCTGTCGACAGTGCATGAGCGTGATTCGCCGAATTCGGGACTGCGTCGCACCCTCTGCCCTGTCACCATCTCCAACAGCATGTGGTCACCACAAGAAATACAAGAGGCCCAGTCACGTAATTCTGCTTTCAGCCTGTGCGTCCAGTGGAAACTAAACGGCCGTCGGCTACAACATACTGAGATATCCCACCTATCTCCAACAGCATTAGGCTATTGGACCCAGTAGGACACACCAGAGTTACGTGACGGACTTCTGTGCCGAAGCTGGGAATCACCCACTGGTGGCTGAGTCGCATGGAAACTAGTTGCACCACCCGAATTCCGCGCCCAGATATTCCGACAGTTTCACAGAAGTCCCGAAAGAGGCCATTATGGTGTCAGCCGTACCCTTCAGAAGATACTGAGAGCTTCTTTTGGTTGCAACGCCACAACGATGTCAAGTTGTGGTGCCGTCAGTGCGACCTTGGCGCTTCGTGTAAGGGCTAACACAAAAAAGTAAAGGCGCCTTTGCAAGAACGCGTCAGTGGAGCACCTTTTGAACGGGTCGCCATAGACGTTTTCGCTCCTCTAACACGAACACAAACTGACAACAGGTTTCTCCTTGTCATTGTAGTCTATTTCTCAAAATTGCCAGAAGCCATCGCTATTCCGGACCAAACTGCCCCTGTCGTGGCAGATGCTCTGGTAACCCACTGGATATCACGGTACGCCGCACCCTTGTCATTACACTCAGACCAAGGTCGAAACTTCGAGTCAGAGGTCTTTCAAGGTGTCTGTCGACTGTTCAACATCACGAAAACAAGAACGACGCCGCTGCATACACAGTCCAATGGCCTCGTGGAGCGTTTTAATCGCACCATACTGCAGCATTTGGCGATGTTTGTCAACAACCATCAAGACGACTGGGACTGCTTTATCCCTCTGTTCTTCTACTCAAATCGAACCACAGTTTACGAAGTCACCGGGTACACACACGCTATGATTCTTTTTGGACGGGAAATTCGCATGCCGTGTGACCTCGCTTTCTCAAGATCACCCGACCGTTCCTCTCACCCCGCGTATTATGTTAGTGACCTGATTATGCGTCTCATGCGGATTTAGGACTTCGTTCAAGGGCGCCTGTCTATCGCTTTCCAGCGAGTGAATGCACAATATGACGAGCACACCAAACAAGAAATGTTTTGACCGGGAGACAAGGTATGGCTTTAAAACCCTCTGCAAAACCGGGGGCTTTTGCCCAAACTACAGCATAACTGGAAAGGACCATTCATTGTCACGCGCTTGAACGATGGGGTATGCCGCGTGCAACGCAACGTTCGTTCACGCATGCTCGTGGTTCACAGAAACCGCCTTCCTCGGTACGAGGGCTGCTCAAATTGAACTGAACTTAGTGTCATTTAGTTTTGATGAGTGTATTGTGCGACACAAGAAGAAGTGATGCTCAGATTCGAAGGATAGAAGGGAACACCAGGGCCGAGACACGCTTAGAATAAAGCGTAACAATACTATCATAATTAAAGCCACACAGTGGTGTAAGAATAGGGGGAGGGGGACAAGTTTTGATATATAGCTGTGGTGGCTTAACTCCTTGTATCGGGCAATCACAGTTTCAACAAAACTGAATCTAGCGAAAAGGAAAGAAAGCACCAAAAACCTAAGTTTGATTGCCCTGCACCCCCTCCTTCCTCACTGTTTTCCCCCACCAGTCCTCTCTACTTTGCTTCGTAATCGCAATTGTTGAAGTACGCAGTCATCGTCCTACTGGCCACCATGGTCTCAACCACCATTTCCATCGACGCACATCGCCTGTGCCTGTCTTGTCCATGGTGTCGGTCTCAGCCCCCTCAGCCCCAGTGCAAAAACATATCCCTCCACACCTGGTTCCGTTGGCGGCCTAATCTTTCGGTCACTATATTACGACATGTTCGACTGCCTCATCCTGCTGCCGCGTGTCCTGAACACTCGTGTCAAAACTAATATCCCGCATGCACTCAACATTCAGATTCGCGCCTCGCACATCATCCCGTTGGCCTTCGAGTTGTTGGCGAATTCCTCGCGCATGATGCTCTTCGCTTCACCGAAGACAACGGGAGACGGTCAAGCGCCAACCACGGCGACCCATCTGGCCATTTACGTCTCTGTGATGATTTTCCTGAACTGTTTCCTCATCCCTGGTGGCCCAACCTCAAACAGCAGCACCGGTAGTGTGTCATATCTCTTCGTAAGTTAGTTCACCTTCCTTACCCTCCGAGTGTCGATACTTCTAAGGTATATCAACACCTGGCGAGCCTATCATTGTTTCGGCAGGGCTGATAGACACTGCTCGAAAATCATATTGAAGGTGCGAACGAACTTCCAACAGGGCCAGCCGAAGTTGCCCTGGACACACTCACTGGTTGTGTTTCGGTGTGCTTCCACTAGCAGGTGCCCCACCTCTTGTTGACTCACTTTTAGATGTTTTCGTGTACGTACCGACAGACACAGCATGGGATTTGCGAATGGCAGGCCCGGAAGTGCCACCATTTTTAACAGTGCCCGCGCTACCTCGTTCCGGTAGAAGCTTCTCTTTCCCCTGCATCCCAAATAGCTTTTGCGTTTGTTCGCCGTGGTCCGCAGCTCAGTTTCATGATGCTCGAGGTTATTTCGTCCCGAATGCAGCGTCACATTCTTACCATTATATTTGGTATTTCAGTCAATCTCTTGGGACTGGATGTTCACCTTCGACAGCTTTGTCGGGGCACTCTCTGTCTCCTGGGTCTCCCGATGCTCACATGAGTTCCGAGGACTCCAGACCTGCTGGGTTTTAAAGCCAAGCCCCAGCATCATTTTCTCTTCCCTGCAGGTGTCCAGAAGTTTCTAAAGCTCCTACAGGGAACCTGTCAGAAGCACCACTTCCTTTGCATAGATCAAGGCAGTCATTCTCTGAACCCCTCCTCTTTTCAACGTAGCCCATGTTGAATTCTAAGCCACTGTCCTTCAGCGCTTTCTCCAGCTTTACAATGTACAGCATGAACACAAGTGGAAAGAGTGGGCACCTTCGCTTCTTTCCACTTGTGGCTCTTTTTGGGTTCAGTGACTGCTGCCCTCCGCTATACACGAACACTATTGTCTCCATATCTCGTAGAGCAGGTCCCTCTATTACCCAGGCACTCGCGATTGTTCCAATGCTGTCCATAGCAGCCTATGGTTCATCATCAGGTCATACGCTTTAAAAATAACCGAGACGGCAACGTATTAAGGCACGTGCTCGTGGTTGGCTATCCCCATGACTTGCTCGCCCCAAAAATCTGTTGTCCTTACATCTTCCTGAAACTCAAGGTCACTGCACAACATGAACCCATAGATCCAACAATAGTTTACTCTACACGAGCTGAGTGAACAGGCAGTGATGTTCTTTTGTGGTTGCTGTTTTTTTTTGTAATCGTGTTTTTTTCCCTCTTGTATTGGGCAGTGATTGTCGCTTCTGAATGACAGGCTGTGGCCTAGACTGTTCAAGAGAAATATGTCAATGAATCAGTGGATGGGTGGTGTTCTAGAGGAGTTTCTACTCAGGGTGCAGCAATCCATCTTTTTTCGCCAAAGTAGCAATTCGTGATGGAAGATTATCTCGGGCGGAATTTAAAAAAAATGACTATAAAAAAAAGGGAAACAGTTTTTCTGTGCTAACACGAAGGCGAAAGATAAGCCAGCATGGACACGAATTCAGTTTCCGGACCTGAATCCAGGTCACCGTCCGGTGTACCTAACAGCGTCTGCTCATTATTAGAAGGAATATTCACGCGCATTCGTGCCACGCCCGCATATCTTTCACACAATTCACACGAGAAGCTCTCGAACTTGGAGTCCGGAAAAGGGTTCATTGGGACTGAATAGTGAAATCTTATCACACCTGTCACAATACCGCTTTGCCATTTGTTTTGGGGTAAAACGAAGTTGGGCTGCTATCTGACCAAAAACTAAACTAAGATGGAGTAAGCCACTGCAGCATATACGTCTAGCTGTGCAGTCACAGCTAGACTATCTGTTACATACACCTTCGAGTGGATCACCTGGGGACCTCGGTTTGCTGTTGACTTGCCTCGAGTGCCTCCTCCGGGACTTGAAGGACCATTCTATAGTACCTCGGAGACCATTTCGTTTCTCTCATTTATAGTATTCATAATATAATCAGTGACATTAAATGCAGCACATCGCGCCTCTTTGACTTCGGCTGTTGCATTTTTAAGAGATCGTAGATTATCTGATCAAATAAAGACTGCTATCACTATCACTGACGCTAGAACCATCACGGCAGTGAAGCTGCAGCATTGATTTTGCTAATATGATGTCCTTGCCATTTTGTGTATCCGATTAATGTGCGAGGGTCACGAGAATGTCTAGACTGGTTTCACAGTGCACTGCTTTTCAATTTAGTAAGCCCCCCTACTGGGCACACCAGGCTTTTGTTGTCCGATTTAGTAAGTAGATGTACTTCCGTTTATTAGATGTGGTACTGACCTTTCATAAATGTTTCACAGTTGGCTGACATGTCTTTCTCTTTCTTCAAAGTTACCATCACCTCCGAGCGAGTGGAGACAAGTTGTTACGGGGTTTGGAGAGCTCTGTCAGTTCCCCTATTGCCTGGGCGCCTTGTATGGCAAGCACGTGATCATCTATCGACCTCAAGTTACAGGAGCCACGTACCGGAACTACATGGGCACATTGAGCATTCTGCTGATGCCACTTGTAGACGTCTACCTGAACTTCATGTACGCACGTGTGGGCAGGAATGGCCAAATGAATGACAGCGGTGTCTGGGCTGCTACAAGCCTACGGGCACACATGGGTCGTGGCTCGGCTTGGTTCCCGGAGCCAGCACAACTGCGAAACTCGTCGAATGTGGCACCGTTTGTCATTATTGGCAACAAAGGGTTTCGTCTTAAGCCGTGCCTGTCGAGGCCATTTTTGGCAGATGAACTGAAGGATCCTGAGACAATGTTCAACTATCGTTGAGTAAAGACTGTACTACCATCGCTGTGCCACTATCAGTAAGTGTTCGCTTGCGTTTGCGCTGTTGTGAGAATGACAATACATAGTTTTCATGTCTCATCATACTGGTTGCCATACCTAGGCTTAAATGTGCCACTAATACGGAAAATGTATGTTGTGATGCGCCTCACCCAGCATTTTATCTTGTGCTACTAACGCATTTGAAGGTTCGCATCATGCGCAAAAGGGTTACCGATTTCTTTCAGCGAAAACTATTAGGGATGTGTGAATGGTGATTTCTCAATCGAATCAAATCGCACATCCCTATAAGAACTAGCTATATTATAACTGTTTACCAATGAAGTGTTTTCGGTATCTGCACATAGTATAATGGTGGTGTCCACCGCCATTGTCACACCAAGTTTTCATTGGCGGTGCCTGGAAATAAAATAATTTTTGACGCGTTTTTGTTCGTTGGAAATTGCACTTATGGGGATCCACAACTAGAGATGTCTGGTTCCTAATCCACTTGTCTACAGTTGAGATGTTGCCGTGAGATTTTGAGCCGAGTGCTTCACAATATTTAGTTGCAGTAGCTCTAGAGTGTTATTTTATCAGAAAAAAGGTATGTTTTGCTAACATGTGACATATCTCACACTATTATAATGGGGTAGGTGTAAGACTTGTTTCCTTATTTTTGTGTCCTTTGTTGATTGTTCTTGTAATCGGTGTTCTGTGCAGTTTTATTTTGTCACTGTGCACTCTCAGAAGTCAACAGTATATGCTACATTGGGAACCAAGCCGAAGATAGTTAGTAGTGCTGCCATGTCAATAGGAAATCAGTACTCATTGAAGCTTTTTGAAAGTGCATGCCTACACTTTTAAAAGTACAGCATGAAGGGTCATTAGTGATGCAAGATTGTTGTTTCTTTTTCTAAACACTTCCGCGGATATCGATCGTATTGTGGAGAACAGGTCGAAATCGTCCGCAGCCGGTTCCAAGTGTATGGGGCCCTTCTTCGGCAAAGGCCTCTCAGGACAGTCAAAGTGGTGAAAACAACAATTGCGTTACACAACTTTCGCCGAAAACATAACTCTTCAAGGAGACGGTGCACTGCCCCAAAAAGCCTTGACGCTGAAGACGTCCTTACAGGCAAATGAAAAATTGGCTATTTGACGTTGTTGCTATCCAGCCATGCTGCCCTAGCGGCCAAGTTCGGAATAAGAATGGTGATGTGCCATTGGCTTCTTATATGATTGATATATATTATTTGAAATAACAGCAATCGTTGCGTTTGCTCAAGCGTTTCTGAAAACAAAACTAAACTAGTCAACACCAAGTGGAAATGGCATAGATGAGAAAGCACATGACAGCACGTGCCTGCTCATCTTTTCCCGACATAAGCGGGTCGGCCTTTGTCAAGCAACAGCGACAGGCACTTCCGTTTCGTATTCTGCTGGAGGTCGCTGCGTAAACGGGTTTAACCAAACTCTCACCTCCTGCCCTTACATTGCGTTGTAGAGCTTTTTCCTGGATTGACGATTACAATCCTTTATGTTTTGCAGCTTTTAGAGCCAATTTCTTTTTAAACCAAAACATAAATTACCAACTGCTAACAGCAATTCGCATTATTCACAAGCTCACCTGGGCTTCTCAGATAATCGTCCATAGTATTTACTTTTTATTTGATTATCCTTTGAATATTCACCCTTTTTGCCAAAAAACAATAAAGGGATATCACCAGTTCAAACTGCAGCGCAGTGGTCGGGCAGTTTTCTTGGCAGACACAGAGTTTGCCGGCACTCGTACAGTGCCCAGTTGCTGCAAAGGTGCGAAAATTGCTACCCTTGATATTGCCGCAGTGGAGGAGCCAATAGTTTCGGTTTCACGAGAAGCGCCAAAAACGAAACTTTGAAGCTGGATGTCTAAAAAAAAACTAAAAGCACTACCGAAAAGCAAAAAAAAAAAAAAAAATATTGATTCATGCTTGCTGGAATTTATTAAAAACTATTCATAACACAGAAATCAAAAACAAATTATTGGATTTGCCCCTTAAAATGGTGGCTTAAACAGTTTTGAGTTGGAATTTTACATGCTGTACACATGCAAACTAACAGAAGAGTGACTCACGTATGCTCATGAATAACGCTACTGGGATCAGATCTCACCACTGTTACATAATCGGCAGCCGCAGCTCTGTAGTTCTTGCAAGAAATCGGGTCGTATTACCTTTCATACTGATCAAGATTCTACATAGCTAAACATCCCTTTTGAAGCAACAGCAATACAAGCAATCTATTCCTGCCATTGTAATCCTACTGTTGCTTGCTGATAGTTTCCCGCTTGAACCCTCGCATCTAATGCCATGTCACATTTACGCCACTTCCGTCATATCCTACTTTATTTTGTTCCCCTTTCCATAGCGGCAGTCCTAGCTCGTAAGATTGTAGCATAGGATAAACGAGAAAATAACCAGAGTACAGGCAACCTGGTGTAAGCTGAACATAAAGGCTAACATGATATTGAGGTGCGAAAAAGCGAAGTGAAATAAAAAGAAAAAATGCAACACGCCTCGTATAACGTAAACACTTTTGAGTTTGGTAGTTCTTTTTTTTTTTTTTTTTTTAATAATGGGCGCGTTAAGCCCGTGCTCTGGAGCTTGGGAGTTTCGCGCTTCATTCAGTAAACGGAAAGTGGCGCCGACGGAGACTGACACTCAAGCGCGCACTTTGTGCAACGAATACTTTTCTAAAAGCGCAAGTGACTTTTTCGCGCTCTGTGATGTCAGGTCCGCAAACAAGATGGCTGTGCTAACCGAAACTTCGTCGAGACAAAAACGCTTCCGGACTGCCCTCACTTTTCAATTGAATAGTGCTTCCAGCAAGTTAAAACAATATGATTCCAAAACGAAACAGCGACTAGCGTTCCAGAAAAGATTTGTTCATGCTTCTCCCCAGCAAACAAATTATTATATCAAACGGTAGGGTGCCGATCTCACACCGACAAATAAGATGCGAAGAGAAGAAATTTGAACCTTGCCCTTTTAGAATGCTTTGCCCTGCGAATAAAGATACCTAAATTAAAGAGCTGAAACATAATTTTTTTGTGGAAAAGGTTTCTTCATGCATCTCACATGAAAACGAATTGACATGCTATATATTGAACGGTGGTCCGGCAGTATCGCCGTAGCAGATCGACGGGTTCCGTCTTGCGCTGCAAGACGAAACCACAAAACAACTAAGTTTAACAGTTTCCTGCGTTGACGAGCGTGAATTAAAACCTTACAACAAATATTAAAACATTCCTATATGAGCTTCCTAACATCATTGTCTTTTTTTATTTACTCGGTTGTGCCACAGAAACCTTAATTTATGTTCCAAAAAAATTGGCTTCTGCCACTACTATCCACGAGAAGTTGGGTTCATCCCAACCGCGTTGTTGGAAGTGGCTCACGCTGGTCGTCGATTGCTTCAGTGTGTCGAACTCCCGTATGCTAAGATATATTTAGCTGCTGTGCTCGGAATGTAAAGCTCAGACCCTTGGAGTAGGAGTAAATGAGTGCGGACTTAGCGCGCTGAATAAGGCCTTTATCTCGCATGCTGTTGCATATGCCCATTGCATTTCACTAAACAATTTGGTTCTCGCTTCACTTCAGGAACAGTACGTGGTGACAGATGGAGGACAGACGTTAACGACAAGGTAATCTTCCCCCTGCAACGGATTGGCGGCAAGCCATTAACCGATGCCAAAGCCATTTGGATGGTCTTCAACGTGTACTTCTGGCATAAAGGCCAAGTCTCTTGGCAGCGGAAGTTATTGAAATAATAGCGTGTGTCATTTGTTAAAAAAATCTGTCCCAACCTTTGCTACTTCACAATCCACCAAAAGGATGCCCCTACCAGATTTTTCTAATGCCACCACATTATTCTTAGTTGCCTATATATAATAATTTGACACATAATACAGGTCACAACAAACATATTTTTATAGTTAACGGAATACAGTAACAGTAAATTAAGATTAGGGATCACCACAGAGCTTGGGTAATTGTGGCTTCCGAGTTGATATCGGTTCTTCGTTTTTATCGACGTGAACCTAGACAAATCATGTTTGCATAAGTATGCTGTGGTGTAAATTAAAAAAAAATACGTGGTGATATGCTAAAAACAAACTTCCACGTGTCTGTACCTTTTCACTTTGCTGAATGTAACTTACAAAAATATCTCAGATACTGCTCAACAAGTAAGCATAGAAATAACTAATATACGAACTTCCTTTTTCCCTGGTGCATCCACCGCAACCACCTGTGTGGATATGGATGCCTCCATCAACACCTTGTGAGCATCAAGCATGTCAAGCTGCGTGCTGGCACCCCCTGTGATGGTGCGAGCGAGACCCTGCATCAGGAGACGGAGACCCTGACACTCGTCAGGCTCCACCTTCCTGGCAAACTTCAGGGTGTTGACTGCTGCCTGCAGCAATGCTGCCTTGCTTGAGGCGGATTTCTCGGTGCTGTAGCGGCAGCTCCTTTTTGGCTGGTGCGTCAGGTGGCGGGCTCCCGGTTTCCGAGCTGTGGTTGTTAGACTTGAGGCTGGTATCCTCCAGACAATTTGTGTTGCACCTTGTCTTTTCTTTTATTGGCAACTGTTCAACTGAAGAGGGCTTTCAGTAGATATCATGTGTAGTTGATAACGCCAGTGTTAAACAAACTTTGGGACTTTTAGTGGATCTGAAGCGCAGTTTCTTGACAAATACATTTCAACATGTGCTATTAACATGGCCATTATAACTTTATATGGTACTAACTGCCAAAGTAAAACCTAAGTCAAATTGATGAGCTCATTAGCTCAGTGAGACGAGATTACCCCTCTCTGTAATTGATATGAAATGCTGCTGCTCTCTCCCCATATTTGGAGGTGCTGACCTCAACAGCGATGAATATTTTCGTGATATTTTAAGTGTTATTTTTATTTTTTTTTCTATTTCCCTGCGAGTGCTGTATCATGCAGATGTGTAACACTTTTTGGCAAATATATGGCCAAGTGTAATGAGGACTGCTCTCAGTTGTGGAGCCAAATATTTCGGTACCCAAGCAATCATGCAGCTTGGTCATGAAGGTGACTTTTTATCCATCTCAGGCTCCCGAAATATATGCTCCCTATTGAAAATTCCATCAAGATACGTATTTGGGTCACTGACTGCCAGTCAGCAGCCTTGGTGGAACGTGATGGACCATCAGACGTCATCTGGCGGTCCATCAGATGACGAATGACTCCGACTGCCAAGGGAATTTCATCAACAAGGGCAGCATTTATATAAGAGTAAAGCTATACGCACTCATAAATATCGCCAAATGGCTCGATAAAACAAAATGTTCGAGAAAAAAGAAAAATAAATGCAGGACCACCGAGGATCAAACCCGCGATCACTTGCGTACAAATCGGACACCTTAACCCCTATGCTATGCCATCACTTTGGAAATTCGATTTGACCATTCGTTTTATACGAGATGCTTCGGCTGCAAATGCAGTTAAGCCTTCAGCACGTTATGCAAAGCACTCGTACATCACTCGCCGTACTTCAGTTCTACTCACCTGCCATGTAGAGTACTTTCGCGTCGTAGAACGATCCTTTTGTTCGCGTGTCTCCGGCCCAGTAGACCTGGTACACCTTGTCTTCAACTGCACCACTAAAGTCCCTTACATCGTCAGAACTCACAACAGGCTGGGTCTTGTCGAGTAGAAATTCTACTAAAACATAAGACATCGTAGAGCCCGGGCAGGATCGACAGGTTGGAGCAAGCGGGCAAACAAAACGAGTAGAGAGCGATCGTTCATGAAAGCTCGGCGAAGCCCGTATGGGCGAAGCAAAGTCGCGTTTTCGGCGTTTCGGTGGGCTTCTGATCAAGGCTGTCGGTCGGCTGCGGGTCATATCTCTAACATCAGAGGTTTTATGGGCTCACGTCCAGAAATCGTTTTCTTGTGCATAGATTATTTTTTGCATTCATAGATTTGACGAAATAGTGGTATCCGAACAAACTTTACGTCCTTTGACCGTACGTCTGTCTGCACGTCAAAGCTTTTTGACGTACAGTCAGAGACAATCGATGTACAATCAGAATCGCCGCCAAGACATCTTGATGGCATTTCGCGGCGGCCGACTGCCCCAAGGAAACCATCAGAAAGCCGACAAGTGGAGTTTGTCTGGAGTTTGACTGTCGGTCAGAGTAACGTGTTGGCCAATCAGACATGCTTGATGTACAGTCAGAAACAGTCAGCGGTCCACTAGAAAACATTGTCTGCCAAACAGGGTTACATTGATGGATTTTTCCTTCGGGCTGCGAACACCAACTTGCTTCGGTCAAGAGGAAAAAGGTCCCCTCGCTTAGGGAACTCACTATATCCTACTGAGAAATATTGAGTGTTTCAGATGCCTGAGTGGTGGACTCAATTGGAGACAGGGGTGCTCCTGTCGATAGAAACTGCAGTTTCTTTAGGTGCACCCATTTGGAGACTGGGTGCTTTAGTAGATAGAAATTGCAGTTTCTTAAAATGCACCCCTTTGGGAACGTGCGCCTTGTTGGCCCCAGCACCAGAGCGTTGAGTGTACCAAAGAGAAAACCTTGCGGTTTTCTCTTTGGTACTGGGACCGCAGGTTCTTTCGCTTGTTTTTGATTTTTTCAATTGCAATGCATTGAAACAATATTATGGCACCTTGACAACTGGCAGCACTTGATTTTGAGCTGTTGAATGTTCCAAACTGTGGTAGTTAAAATATCTGCAAGATTTGTGCTAATGTTATTATTGAGTAATTCTTCAATAAAACATGCGTGCCTGCTTGTCTAAAGAGACATTTACTTCGGCGCAGTGACATAGCCAAGAATTATTTTCTTGGCTATGTCACTGCGCGGAAGTATTTTATGACCATGGGGAAGGGATGGGGGGGTGGGGGGCAGGTTTTGTTTCTCTTTTGCGTGTAGTAGTTAATGTACCGCACAATTCACCGGTACGGTCACGGCCGTCCCCGAACCGCTGGCCGTCTGGGACAATCTGGTAGTCATTCATTATTTGTCTGTCTTAATTAAAAACAAAAAAGTGATGTTTTTTCGGGGGGGGGGGGGGGGGGGAGGGGTGCGTTTAACCCTAAAACCACGCCTTGCCTATGGTACCGCTCGTTCCCTTCTCGCCACGGCACACACCACGCATTGACAGAGTGCGGCCGTCATGCGGCGAGAACTTTGGATCTTTACGATGATTTCTGACATCGGGAAAAAAAGATGAACGAGTACTCACTTCTGTCGCCAATTCCTAAGGCGCTCGTAATGTCGGGGATAATCCTGATGTAAAATGTGTGACAGAAAACGACGATCCTCAATCTCTTTTATCATCATACCTTCTAATTTCTAGTCAACTTGAACTCAATTCGCGGCCATTGTTCGCGCAGACCAATATCTCGGCTTTTCACACAATGAACGATTGCATTCGTTGCAATCACATTAGAGATCAGTGGTTAATATGGTGGTATCGGTGTCGAAGGCCATTCTGTCACGCCTGTGATAGCTTGTTTTGAAAGAAAACTCGAAGAGAAAAAAGCTATCACCACCTCAACAACGTTTGTCGACGCTTTTTCGCTCAAAGAGCAAAACACAAAAAACCGTATGTTCAAACTTTGTTTGTCTGCGTATTTTGAAGTGTTTCGTTCACAACTGCAGTCCCACTAGAAAACAAGTTTCCTTGGCCCCATGTTTTGCGTTGTATCCGCCAGGTTGAAAGGCGGACTCGGACAAACTACGACAAACAGGCTGTCGGTCGATGTCTTTCGTCGCTCGTTGTAGTGTGTCGCTGTCGTTTGTTGTTGTTTGTCTCTCAAGTGGGACGCGGCTGTTACAGAGCAAGAACAAGAGTTGCGTCGTTGCAGGCAGCACCTAAGGAAGACTCCTAAGGAATTTCAGCAAAGTCAGGAGCTTGAGGGCGGTTAACAGGAAGTGCAAAAACCGCCAAGGGAGGACAAACCAGTACATCCAACCTCACCTGCAGTGTCGACACCATCCAAGGAACCTTCAGCAAACGAGGACGAACTAGTAAATCCAACCTTAAATGGAAAATTGATTAAACCCAATGATGGTCTGGCACTAACACTTTCTGGGTAGCGAAGAACGATAAAAGCTCCGATGCGGCTTAGTTATGACGAAGACTTTGGACAATTGTCACAAAACCTATGTGTGTGCGTGTGTGTATTCCCATAGAGATTTGTTTGTTCTTATACATATTTGGTTCTTTTAAAGGCACAAAGATGTATTGGCAGTGGCAAGCCACTCTGGTGGCACGAGACAGAAATACTTAAGTGCCCTAATAAATATTTCAGTCGTGGTTCCATCTACGGCGATGCTGACTGTTATTCTGGACGGGCGCGCTTCCCCGACGCCACGGCGGCTCCACGGTTGTGGCTTACTAAAGGAGTGTCTAGTGCGCGCGTCTTTGCACACGTCATGTCGCAGCCAGCTTGCTGACAAAGGTGTGGCCTAGTGTGCGCGTCATTGGGCACATGACGGCACAGCCAATGGGGATGAGGTGGTGACACGTTATGAGAGTATAAAATGAGCGTGGTGCCTCACGTGCGTCACTTGCTGTCCGGATCGTATCGCTTGAAACAAAAATCATCGTCCTGCAACAAAGGGGTCCTAATGATTCCGGTCTGTGGCCAACGTAGACGCAAACACACGCACCGAATCAGCAGATTAAACTTTAAGTCCTGTTCAAAACATCAATCGAAAACATTTCTTCGAGAGAACTATAATGTTTTCGCATTCCCACACGCTAGCAGCC